GCCCCTGGGCAGTACTATCAGACCAGAGGAAGCTGTGGTGGTTGTTCAGTCATTGAACATCTATGTTTCTCTGTATAAAATAACACAGATTAGCACCAAATGGCTGTAATTGTATATAATACAGTTTGGTGTCTATCCCACTTCTACCTGGGGTTTGGGGAAACTCACAGAATAAAAATGGGTGAAAGGAAGGCCCTTTAGAATTCTTTTGAAGGCCTTGCCATCTCCTTCCCCCACTGCCAGGGAGAATTTTGGTCAAAGAATATAAATGAGGTAGAAGAAGCTAGCAATGTCAAGAAAGGAAAAAACCCTGCAGAATTCCACAGAATAGTAGCCTTCTATATAAGTATATGTGAATACAGCCCCAGAATCTGCCGAACAGCTGAATGTGGCTCTTTGCACAGTCCCTCCGGGATAAATGAACCAAACATGAGCAACTAAGCATCCCACAAAAAATAACTAAACTTGACCTTGGGAAGCAAAACTGAAATATGCTGCTTCCTATTTGGGGGGTCATGAGAAATCCATTTTAAAATGGCCTCAAATACAGCATCTTCTTGTTTGACGTTGAGCTCATCTTTCTCAATGATATCCTTCAGTTCAGTGACTGAGAGCTCTAAAAACTCGGCCGAGACTTTCACCATCTCCTCAAAGTTGTGCAGTATAAACATGTAGGCCTTCTGCCTCAGCTCGGGACAGTAGTAGTAGTCCGTGAACTTGCAGATGCCGATACAGTTATCCAAACACAGCTCCGACTTGAGGAACTCACAGCAACCCCTGACAATACCCATGATGTTAAATTGGTCTGCGGCAGCCAGCAGCTTCTCCACATTGTCCGGTGTGATAGGGACGGTCCGGGTGTATGCATATTCAATAATTAGCTTCATCATGTCAGGGGAAATGCCAGGAATGTTGTATACCTTCTTTTCAGTGTTGTTCCAGCCACTTGTAAACAAAGCTCTGGAAAAAAGAAAGAAACTAGCAGCCACTGAAATATTTCTCTCCAGTTTAACAGGTTCTCCTCCCACTGTCTTTCGTCGAGGAGAGTTTGGACATTGCCCAAACAGTACACAGTGAGTATGTTAGAAATAAATTGGCGTGAGGAAGGGGAGGGGGCGGGCAGACTCTGCATCTTATACAGTGGGCAAGAGAACCTTACCAAGAACTTTGACTTTGGTCACTCTCCTTATCCTCATGAAAACTAGAACTTTTCCCTATTTTGTGGGTGGAAAAATTAGGATCTAGAGCCGGGAATAAGACCTAGAGCCAGGAATAAGACCTAGATGTCTTCTATCTCAATCTTGCTTAAGAAAATTAAACTTGAGGGGCGCCTGGGTGGCTCAGTGGGTTAAAGCCTCTGCCTTCGGCTCAGGTCATGATCCCGGGGTCCTGGGATTGAGCCCCACATTGGGCTCTCTGCTCAGCAGGGAGCCTGCTTCCTCCTCTCTCTCTGCCTGCCTCTCTGCCTACTTGTGGTCTCTGTCTGTCAAATAAACAAATAAAATCTTAAAAAAAAAATTAAACTTGAGCAAGATGGTTTTTTAATAAGTACTGTTCAACCAGCACACACCCAGTATCTGATCACTCCTCACCTCTGACTGCTACCTCCTTGGTCCAAGCCCCCACCATCTCCAGCCTAGATGATTGGGAGTAACCCTCTAATGGATGCCCCTGCTTCTGCCCTTGATGCTGCCAGGGCTTACAGTCATACCCCAACCACCTTATGAGTTTATGTACCCTTCCACCCAAAATCTTCTGCTGACATCCATTCTTGCTCAGAGTAGAATACAAAGTGCTTGCCAGGGAGTACAAAAGTCCTCAGATCTAGACCAGTAATACCTCTCTGGACACTTCCTCCCACTGTCCCCCTCATTCCATTCCAGTCCCACCAGCCTTGCTTTCCTTGAATACACCAGAGGTGTTTCATTTTTGGTCCTTTTGTACCTGCAGTTGTCTCTGCCTGGAAGGCTCCCCGCTGCAGATCTCCGTATCTCACTCCCACATCCCCCTTAAAGTCTTTGCTCAAATGTCCCTTTGTCAGCAAACCATCCTATATAAAATCACCACCTTTCTATTGAAAATCTCCCTACCTGGGGCGTCTGGGTGGCTCAGTTGGTTAAGCATCTGCCTTCTGCTCAGGTCATGATCCCAGGGTCTTGGGATTGAGTCCTGCATCGGGCTCTCTGCTCAGAGGGGAGTCTGCTTCTCCCTTTGCCTGCCCCCAACCCCGCTTGTGTGTGTGCTCTCTTTCTCATAAATAAAATCCTTAAAAATAAATAAAATCTCCCTACCTTCCTTTTTTCCACCTAGCACTTGCGATCTGCTATTTTTTTATTTATTGAATGCCTATTCCTCCTACTAAAAGGTAAACTTCATGAGAAAACAAATGTTTATCTCTTTACTCAGTGTTTTATTTCTAGTACCCCAATAGTGCCTGTCATAAAATAGGCACTCAATAAATAATTATTGACAGTGTACTATTCCAGAACTATTTATTGGGCTTCTACTGTATAGCTACGTACTTTTTTAGGTGTTGAACAAGACAGAAGAAACTGCCCTGACAAGTTTTTCCTCTTTTTTCCAGGTGGTTTAAGAGAATATGGGCTTGGAAATGAGATTCTTCCCTAGAGCAGGGGTCTGCAAACCTACAGCCTCTGGGCCAGATTTGGTCCACCTCTTATTTTTGTACCACCTACAAGCTAAGAATGTTTTCTACTTTTTTTAAAAAAAAATTTTATTATTTATTTATTTTTAAAGATTTTATTTATTTATTTGACAGAGATCACAAGTAGGCAGAGAGAGGCAGACAGAGAGAGAGATGAGAGCCCGATGCGGGGCCTGATCCCAGGATCCTGGGATCATGACCTGAACCGAAGGCAGAGGCTTTAACCCACTGAGCCACCCAGGAGCCCCCCATTTTTCTTTAAAGAGAGAGAGTTGGGGTGGGGTGGGGTTGGGGGGCAGGAACAGAGGGAGAGGGAGAGAATCTTAAGCAGGCTCCACGCCTAACTTGGAGCCCAACACGGGACTTGATCTCAGGCCCCTGAGATCATGACCTGAGCTGAAATCAAGAAGTTTAACCACTTAACTGACTGAGCCACCCAGACACCCATTTTTTACATTTTTAAGTGGGGAGGTTTTGCAGCACCTGGAAATTATAATAAATTCAAATTTCAGCATCCATAAATCATTTTTATTGGAACACAGCCATGCCCTCTCATTTAGTATTGTCTATGGCTGCTTTCCCACTATAAAGGCAGAGGACAGTCATTGTGACAGAGGCTGTATGGCCAGTAAGGCTTAAAATATTCACTACCTGGTCTTTTGTAGACCCTGTTGTAGGTCTAGATGAAATGAGAGTTTTTAGCAACAGATGGAACACATGTATCATGTTCATTGGAACTGAGCACTCAAACATTTTCAGCTCATGAACAAAATAGCTCTGCTGCTTCCTGGGTCCCAGTGCTTGTGGCCCAAACTCCCTTTAACTTTTGACAAACACTTCCTTGGGCCTTCCCGCAGCCTCCTTCCCATCTGCTCAATCCTTGTCAATTCATCACCCTGTTTGAGATAGTCTCTACTGGGATGGGGGCACAAGGGTGGGCAGCACTGTCCTCTAGGTTTAAGTGGGAAATCCAGGATGGGGGTCCAACCTTCCCAAATGTTAGTTTGGGTGAGAATCAAAGGAAAAAAGCACCTGCCCACTAAGAGTTGGCTGAAATCCAGTTGGAAAGCAGAGAGGCGGCTCCGGCCCTAGTCGTGCCTCTTCAGAAGACAAAGGAGCCAGGCTAGGGGAGCCCAGAATTTTGACAGCGTCCCTAACTGAAGATGATGGGGTGGGATACATGAAATGAACCAAAATGTCTCAGAATGAGCCCAAGTCCCCCTTTGGCTTAGTTTGGCAACCCTGTTATACCTAAAGTAGGAACTGCAGCTACAGAGGATGTTCTTGTGGGCATTGAACTCAAAGCCATTGACCTTGATGACCACGTCGCAGAGCTTGCCCTCTAGCCTAAGCTCGTTGAAGATCTCACAGGTCATCGCACTCATCTTCCTCTCCATGTGAGGCTGGTGGAAACGTGTGGAGGCCGCCGCGCTCTCCATCTCCATGGCACCCTGGGACCAGCGGAGAGAGGCTGCTCTCCTAGGGTGTTGGGGAGGGTTGTGGGGGGCCCCTTTAGCCTGCTGTCGCTCCTTTTCCCTACTACATCTTTCATATAGGGCCCATCAGGCAGCCCAAGTTCCAGAATCCTGGGCCCGCAGTGAGATCACTCTCAGGATTGTGGCCTCAGGTTCTGGAACTCTCTCCTGTCTCTGTCCTCCTTCCTTCCCCCCTCCCCCACCATTCAGGCTGAAGACCACCCCACACCTTCCAAGCCCTTGAATCTGGAGCAGCACTGTGACCACCAACGCCATATAAGAGTTTTTATCCATTCTAGCTCCTGTTGCCCACTTCAGATGCCCAGCTCTGTATCTGTGTAGCATCATCTAGACCTTCTTCCACTGCTGGGCACTTGGCTCCCCAGATACTGAATTCAAGGAAACCAAGTCAGAGGAGGCAGAAGGAAGGGAAGCTGATTAAAGCTCACGCTGGCCCAGCTGTCCAGGGCCTTCCTGCCCTGAGGACGTGTGTTAGTCGCTCATTGTCTTCTGCGGTGAGGAGTGGGCCCAGTTAAGCCCCTTCTGGATGTTTTCCATACCCTCTCCCTTCCTGCGGCTTTTGTGTCTTGCAAAATTTACGTCTGGAAATGACCCTTCTGGCCAGTACTTTTGCTGTCGACGGTGGCACCCGGTAACCCCAACTCTTGTGACCCTCACCCTCCTCAACACAGAGCCAGCACTCGGGGTCTTGCCCAGCGCGGGCGCCGCCCTCTCCCTGCCCCGCCCGCCCCCGGGTCCCCAGCCCGCGGTTCCCCGGCCTCCCGGCGGCGGGCGACGCCTGCGCAGTGCGGCCGTGGGGAGGTCGTTGTCCCGGCGCTGTCGTCCCGGCCGCGAGCGCCATGGCGGAGGAGGTGAGGCGGGAGGAAGCGTCCGGCGTGGGGCGGGCTCCGATCCCCGGGGCGCTCCGAGGCCCCCAGCTGGCCGCCTGGGCCCCGCCGCGCCACCCCGGCCAGTAGGCGCCCGGGTCTGGCCCGGAGCCCCCCTGCGCGCCTCGCGCGCCCCGGCCCCGCCTCTCAGGGCTGCGGAGCCGGCGCCGGGCTCCCCCTGGGCCCAGCGCGGTGCGGGGGTCAGCGCTTCTCTCGGGTCTCGGGACAGGTGAGCACCCTGATGAAGGCCACGGTCCTGATGCGGCAGCCCGGGCGGGTGCAGGAGATCGTGGGCGCCCTCCGCAGGGGCGGGGGAGACCGCTTGCAGGTACGGCGGGGGCGACGAGGGGCGGCTGGGGAGGTGACCGGCCCAAGGGGCCTGCCCGCGCTGCCGCGGACGCTGCGGGCCCTGAGCCCCTACAAATGGCCAGCGGCCGGAGGGCGAACCGGTTGCTCCACCTGATTGCCCTGGGTTAGAGTCCACCTGCCGGAAAACCGACATTTCAAATTTGTCGGTCATGACCAGCGTCTGCTTCCTCTTACTAGGTAGAAGGCACCCAGCACCAGGCCCTGGGGCCTTGTTTCCACGCTAGCCGGGTCAGCGGGCTCCCCAGGAAGTTGCAAATGTGATGGTTCACCTTGGGAGGGACCCAAGGCAATGAGATGGCAAGGCTAAGAGTCAGAGAGGGTCCTGATTCTTCAGTCCCCACTCTGCCAGCGACCTCCAAGAGTCTGGGCGTCCTCAGGCATAGCAGGCTGCTACTAACTAGGATCAGTTCTCCCTCCCCGCTCCCAACCCCTTCCTAACTCCTGCAGGGCTTTGCCCACTGGCTGGATACTGAGCTGGTTTGCCTTTCATAATCTTCCCCCGCCCAGGCAGGGCCACACCATAAGGCATCTGTATGGATAGCATCTCTCTTTTGCATTTTAGGTCATCTCTGATTTTGACATGACCTTGAGCAGGTTTGCGTATAATGGAAAGCGATGCCCTTCTTCTTACAGTAAGTCACATACTAGCTTGCCTTTTTGGGCTTGATAAGATGGTAGCTTCTGCGTGGCAAATGAAAGGAGTTTTCTGTGTTTACAGACATTCTGGATAACAGCAAGATCATCAGTGAGGAGTGCCAAAATGAGGTGGGTTACAACCCCTTCTTTGTTCAGAGATGGCTGTCTTGTACTACTTGAGATAGTTCTTGGTTAGGACCAAAGATTCCAGGGTAGAGACCTTAGAAGATTAATATTTTTTAAAAAATTGTTCTTATGTTCAGATGGACCTAGTCTCATAGACTGGGGCAGTGTTTCCTTTTTGTTCAAGACATGTGACGATTGGTGGTTAGAATATGGATGTTATGCATTCTGCAAGTTACAGAGTTTACAAGAGACTTCAACATTTGCTGTTTAACCCTCCAGCAACTCCAAGGGGTGGATAGAACCACTATTATCTCCATTTAACAGATGAGAAAACAGGCTTGAAGAGGATAAGCAACTCCTTCAAGGGTCATACAGGCAAGACACAGAGAGCTTGGTTTTCCCATAGATCTAATTCTGTCCCAAACTCTTTTCACTACATTATGCTGTTTCTTTAATAATATACTTGGGGTGGGGGTTGCACCTGGGTGGTTCAGTGGGTTGAGCGTCTGACTCTTGGTTTTGGCTCAGGGTGGTGGTATCTGGGATTAAGCCTGCTGAGCAGGGAGTTTGCTTGAGATTCTTTCCCTCTCCCTCTGACACTCCCCCTGCACACCCCCCCCACCTCTCTCTCTCTAAAATAGATAAATAACTCTTTTAAAAAATATATAATTTTTTTGGCAAGGTAACAGGTATCAAGAAAGACTTCTGAATTAATGTCACTATATGATAACACCCACTTCCATGAGATGCATACAAATATTATAAATCATGCAGCCTTGGAGTTCATTTTACTTTGTTCCACATTCTGGCCTCTTTGCCAGAGGAGAGCCCTGCTGGTTGTACATTTCTCTGTAGTTTGCTGAGCTCTTTCTGCTGAAGAGCTGTTATCATTTAGTTTCACTTCGTTATGAAATTCACTAAATTACATTTTAAGCAGTCTGTCAATCTGTCATCTTGATCAGCTTTTCCAATACTCTGTCATGGTTACTTGTTACTAAGATGGGCAGCAAATTATAGATGCACCTTATATTTCTAAAACCCATCTTTCTGGAGTTGCACTTTTAGCTTAACGTAAGTTCTGGCTCCAGACCTAATCAGTTGCTTTTGGTAAGTCACTTTTAGTGGTCCCTCACATACATGTCTTATCAGCTTCCAGAAAGCTGCACCCACAAGTAAGACAACAGGTTGGGTACCTGCTCTAGGATAACAAAATGAAGGCAAACTAAGATTCTGGGCGTTGATGAGCTCCCGAAAAAAATCATAAAGCAAAGTTTATGCATGAAGCCCTTTTTCTTTTTAAAAAAGTATATTCTGTTGAATTCTCTTATGCTTTTTAGAAAAATATTCTCACACTCCCCCCAAAACGCACACATTGAGAATCTTAATACATTTCAGGAGTTTTCTCCCTTTGTCAGTGTATGCTCTTTGCCTTTAACTCTCTTTTGGACCCATGGTCAGGGACTCCACATTGATCTCATAATATTCTGAGACTGGGCATATGTTAAAGTTAAAATTCTTTTGCCCGACCAGTTCCCGTTTTTATTGGATGCTGTTACCCACTGGCCTGTGTGACACATGGTCCCAGATGCGGTCTCCTCAGACATGGAAGGAGATCTTAATAGGAGAAGGTACACACAGGAGCCCGGTGAGCTGATTCCCCTGATGTTGGTTCTATGATCATTATCCACCAACATGCTGGCTCCCAAACCCACTTCCTGATTTTTCTACTTCCACTTTCATGATTTTTGCCATATCTATTAGAGTGGCCGGTAATACATATTTTACTTAAAGTTGGGTTACTATTAAAAATCTGAATGTGGGGAGCCTGGGTGACTCAGTCAATTGAGCATCTGCCTTTGGCTCAGGTCGTGGTCCCAGGATCCTGGGATCGAGCCCCGAATAGGGCTCCCTGCTCAGTGGGGAGTCTGCTTCTCCCTCTCCCTGCTGCTCCCCCTGCTTGTGCTCTCTCTGTCTCTCTCTGTCAAATAAATAAATAAAACCTTTAAAAAAAATCTGAATGCAATTAGAAAAGAAACAGTCTTTGTGAGAGCATGAATTTGATGTGCTAGTTTTTTTTTTCTTAATACGCATTAAAAGGAATCCAAAACTACTAAAATGAAAAGTGTGTATCCATGTGCCTCCTAAAATGACTTTGCCTACCCCCTGAGAATGTGTACCCCATTTGGGGAAATACAGCTTTAATCCCTTCTTACCAGTTAAGCCCTGTCGACTGAGCTAGAGAATAACAACAAAATCCTAGTAACTTCTGACCTGAGAGCAAAAGGTCTTTGTGGATTCTTAGACCTCACCCTCTGAGGGTGCGGATGAAGGGCTGACCAGCTCGGCAGGTCGGTCTCTCCCTAACACAGAGTTGCCTCTTCTAGGTGATTATTTCCTCACACTCAACTGTGGGCCTTCGCTGGGGAAAGCTTGATGTGGACTAACGGCTTTTCTCTTCATTTGGATGTCCCAGCTCAAAGCGCTCCTCCACCACTATTACCCAATTGAGATTGACCCACACCGGACCATCAAGGAGAAGTTACCTCACATGGTGGAATGGTGAGTGATGGTGGTTTTGAACCACTCCTGGCCCCCATGATGGACAGGTCTGGGAGGGGAGTATGTTTTTCCTGAGCTTGAATGAGGTGGCAGGCCCCCTTACCTTACTGAATTCCCCTGGCCCCCCTATTAGAACCAACCGTCCAGCCCCAGAGGGGCTACTTGTGGCTGCTGCTGGAGTGGGGGCCCACTGAGAATCCTTGGAAGGAGGGAGAAGCCCCTGGGTTTGGGGGAATACATGCTGCGGGGAGATAACTTTCCCATAGGAACCAGTATATTCTATAGGGGACAGAGCCCCGGTTCTCCAGAACATGGGGTCACCAAGAGAGGGATTCAGGAGGGCTTGGACTTCAGTGGTTAGCTCTCCCAGTTCTTGTTCCTGTGGCTGTGGTTCGACTTCCTCACCCTCTTCCTTTTAAGGCCAGCCGGAGTCCTTCAGGAAGTGGCTTGGTGGAAAAGGATGAGGCCTCCATTAATCTTTCTAGAGGGGACTTGGCCCTAAAAAGGGAAAGGATACTTTCCTACTTAGTGATTGGAATTTGGGCTTTTGTGGGGCGTCTGCTTCTAGGTGGACCAAGGCACACGATCTCCTTTGCCAACAGAAGATTCAGAAGGCTCAGATTGCCCAGGTGGTTAGAGAGTCCAATGCAATGCTTAGGTAAGTGTCTTGCTCTGGGAAACATTGGAAACTGGTTGGCTCCCAAAAAGAGGCTGGAAAGGAGTGGAGGGGAGTGAGTTGCTAGGGGAATCAGAAGAGACAGACACCGTAAGTGGCTGATGTGAAGAAGGCCTTGCTTTCCTCTCTGAATACAGCTAAAGGCTTTCTCACCTGTGGGTGCTTCCTAGACAGCTGTCTGCTACTAGTGGATATAATAGGAATATGACCAAGGCTTCATCTCCTGGAACAAACAGCGTCTAGCTCATTTTCTCCAGTGGTGAAAAGACTCTGGGGTCACCATGATGCCTGGTGTTCTGGATTAACCTAGACACGGGAGTTGATTGGCCTAGGACCCTTGATCATCTGCGGCATTCCTGGTGCTACTCTCTCTGCTGCCATGTTCGTTCGTTCTTTCTTTCTTTCTTTCTTTCTTTCTTTCTTTCCTTCCTTCTTTTTTTTTTTTTTAATTAACATATAATGTGTTATTTGTTTCAGGGATACAGGTCTGTGATTCATCAGTCTTACACAATACACAGTACTCACCACAACACATACCCTCCCCAGTGTCCATCACCCAGCCGCCCCATCCCCCCACCTCCCTCCCCTCTAGCAACTCTCAGTTTGTTTCCTGAGGTAAAGAGTCTCTATGGTTTCTCTCCCTCTGTGGTTTCATCTTGTTTTATTTTTTTCCTTTCTTCCCCTATGAACCTCTGCCTTGTTTCTTAAATTCCATATATGAGTGAGACCGTATGATAATTATCTTTCTCTGATTGACTTATTTTGCTTTGCATAATACCCTCTAGTTCCATACATGTCATTGCAAATGGCAAGATTTCATTCTTTTTGATGACTGAGTAGTATTCCAGTGTGTGTGTGTGTGTGCACACAAGCCCCGCCTTGGGTTTCCAGCTCGGAGGGGAGTCTGCTGCTCCCTCTCCCTCTGTCCCTTCCTCTGCTCATGCATGTGCTCTCTCTCTCTCAAATAAATAAAATCTTTAAAAAATAATAAAATGTTTCTAAAAAGAAAAAATTTGGGGGCACCTGTGTGGCTCGGTCAGTTAAGCGTCTGACTCTTGATTTCAACTCAGGTCATGATCTCAGGATCCTGGGATCGAACCCCATGTTGGGCTCTGTGCTCAGTGGGGAGCCTGCTTAAGACTCTTTCTCCCTCTCCCCTCCCTCCACACCCACACTCTCTCTTAAATAAATAAATAATTTTTTAAAGATAGTATTAAAAATACTTTTTTTCCCAAGATTTTATTTATTTGGTGGACAGAGAGAGATCACAAGTAGGCAGAGAGGCAGACAGAGGGAGGGAGAAGCAGGCTCCCCACTGAGCAGCGAGCCCAATGTGGGGCCCAATCCCAGGACCCTGAGATCATGACCTGAGCCAAAGGCAGAGGCTTAACCCATTGAGCCACCCAGGCACCCGAATAAAAATACTTAAAAAAAATATTTTATTTATTCACTTGAAAGAGAGAAAGACAGAGCACAAACGGGGAGGGGCAGAGGGAGAGGGAGAAGCAGATTCCCCACTGAGCTGGGAGCCTGACGTGGGGCTTGATTTCAGGACCTGGAGATCATGACCCGAGCGGAAGGCAGACACTCAACCATCTGAGCCACACAGGTGCCCCAAATAAATCTTTGAAAATGAAAAATTTAAAAATACATCACCTAAGTAGGAAGTAAAGACAGGAGCAGAGGCATCGCCACTGCAGAGTCCGTCTCTTTTCAGGGAGGGATACAAGACGTTCTTCAACACCCTCTACCAGAACAACATTCCCCTTTTCATCTTTTCTGCGGGCATTGGTGACATCCTGGAGGAAATTATCCGGCAGATGAAAGTGTTCCACCCCAACATCCACATCGTGTCTAACTACATGGACTTTGACGAAAACGTGAGCCTGACCTCCTTTAGGCTGGGAGGGTGGAGGGGTGGGGACCGCCAGCACCCCTCCCTGGGCAACACCTGAAACCCTGAACCCTGACTTGGGGAGGGAAGGGAGGGAACTCATGCTGGCTTCTTGCCCTCAGGCCGTTACTTGTTTCTTCATGCCTGCTAAAGGCATGCCCTTTGGTGTTTGACAGCTCACTGGGTACCTAATTTAGGGTTCAGCTAGGCCCCACGTCAGCATTCCAGGTCACATGCCATCCTGGGTACTCCAGGGCTTAGACTTTGACTTGTTTTCCTGGAGCCAGAGGTGGGCTGCTCTAACTCATCAAGGCTCTGACTTCTTCCCCTCACACCAGCTGTTGGGCAGCTGCTCCGTTCACCTGGGGTGAGGCTGCGCCCGCCACCAAGGGCAAACACATGTGTGGCCTGAACAGTGCCGGTGTCATGGCTTCACGCTCCTGCCAGAGTGGCTGATCGGTCCTGTCTGAGGGCCCTTGTAAGTTTAAATCAGGGGTTACACGCTTTTTGTTGTAAAAGGCCAGGTAGTACCTATTTTAGATTTTGTGGGATGATGGACTCTGATTGACTGTCACAACTACTCAACTCTGCTGTGGCAAAAAAAAAAAAAAAAAAAAAAAGCAGCCACAGTGCTCGCTTCGGCACAGCACGTATACTAAAAACGGCCACAGACACGATGTGACACATGAGCCTGGCTGTGTTCCGGTCAAACTGAATTTACAAAAATCCACCAAATCTGGCTACAGGACCTAGTTGGCGGGCCCCGAGTTTGGACTACATGGAGGTTCTGGCATTTCTCTGGCTATCGGGATTGTCTTTCCTCTGTGACAGAGACCGCGGAGATCGGGCTCTAGAGTGTGCCTGCAGCCCTTCTGTCTCTTGCTTGTTTAGGGTTTCCTCCAGGGATTTAAGGGCCAGCTCATACACACATACAACAAGAACAGCTCCGTTTGTGAGAACTCTGGCTACTTCCAGCAGCTTCAGGGCAAAACCAACATCCTCCTGCTGGGAGACTCCATGGGGGACCTCACGATGGCTGATGGGGTGCCAGGTGTGGAGAACATTCTCAAGATTGGCTTCTTAAATGACAAGGTAGGTGTGGGACCAGGGCTTCCCGGCTCAGTGGCGTGCTTCTGTTTCGATGCCTGTTAAATGCCTGGCAAACACCTCTATGTGCCGGTCAAGGTCAAGTCTTAGAGGCAGTGAGGTGTGGCAGGAGCTATATTCTCATGGGAAACAGCGATGACAGCTGTGTCGGGCACACGGTGCGACAGCGGAGTTCAGAGACACTATTGAGTGCTCACCATGTACATGGCATATTGACCCACTTAGTCCTTACGGCAGCCTTCTGAGATAGTGACTCTTATGCCTCGTTTTACAAATGGGGAAACTGAGTCAAGGAGGTTCATCTACCCATGGTAGATAGTGTAGGAAGTGGGGGGCTGATTACAATCCTAAATCATAGCTATAAGGCATGACTGAGGTGGGAGATGTCAGTATTCAGGAGGTGGGTTTATAAGTCAGAGAAGGAAAACACAAGAACAGGCCGGGGGCCAACCAGAGGCAGGGGGGAACACCATCAGCATGAAGGAGCTCAGTATGGTGTCAAGTTAGAAGGCCACCAGTTCGCGCATCCCCCCTCCACAGCCAGCATGTGCTGAAGACCTCTAGAATGCTTGACCCGTGTGAAACTTCAGTCCAGATGGATTAGAAATCACATCTGGTTTTTTAATTTTAATCCCCATCCTGTCCTTCTGTCACTGACCCGAGGTTTAATCATGGCGCCCTGTGCCCGTTGCTGTCCAGAGGGCGGGTCTCTGTCCCGGAGCTGTTCTTGGGGAGCTGCAGCTCCAGTGCCCTCCACCCCTTGCCCCTGGTGCCTCAGAGGCAGAGGCTGAAGGCAGGGCGTTCTGGGGACTCTGCCCCCTTCCCCGGGCAGGTGGAAGAGCGGCGGGAGCGCTACATGGACTCCTACGACATTGTGCTGGAGAAGGACGAGACGCTGGACGTGGTCAACGGGCTGCTGCAGCACATCCTGCACCGCGGGGACTGGAGAGAGACGCAGGGCTCCTGAGAGCCAGCAGGCGGCTGGGGGACCAGGCACCACGGGCTGGAGAGTGGGGAGCCTCACCAGGAGGCCGCCCTGTGGGAGCACTGCTCGCTGCTCATCCCTGTGCGTGCGGAGTCCGGGATGCAGCTGCTGAGCCTGGGCCTCTCCCTCCTCCTTCCCCAGCGTCCTCTGTGGTGTTCTCAGGGGGCTGGTGGGGGGCCCTGCCCGGGGGGGGGGGGGCAGGTGTCAGGTGAAGGCGGGACCCACAGGGTGTTAGTGCCCTAGGGACCATCTAATCCAGGGGTTCTTTCTTCCCCAATTTTTTAAACACAGGAAGATGTTCTTCAAAGAAATCTAATGTGTGAAACAGATCAAAATAAAAAAAGGAGAAAACAGTTCTGATTTGGGGGGATGCAGGGCTGGCTGGCTCAGTTGGTGGGGCGTGTGACTCTTGATCTCAGGGTTATGGGTTTGGGCCCCACATGGGGTGTACAGACTACTTAGAAAATAAAATCTTAAAAAAAAAAAACAAATTCACTCACGAGACCCTCTGAGCACCCCGTAAATGTGTCTGGGGACCAAGGTGAGTAGGCAGGTTTGGAACGTGTGTTTCCAAACCCTGACCTGGGATGGTTTCACGTGATGCTGAGGTGTCCGTTAAACGTGGAGTTGAGGGGGTCCGTGGGCCTGACCAGCCCGGTGTGCAGAGCTTCCTGTTGATGGATCTCCAAACAGATCTGTTTGGAGGCAGATTTTCTCTCATGCCCTGGGCTCCTGCCCTGTCTTCTCTTCCTTATGTGGGCACAGGGCCATGGAGATGGGTGCCTTCAGGGGTGGGGTCCTGCAGTGGGACCCGAAGGGAGAAGCTGGTCCTCGACACTGCGGAAGTGATTTCTGCTCCATCGTCTCACATCACTGGCTGCCCTTTGAGTTTCTTTCCCTTCCTCCCCTGTCGACTTGGATGGTCAAGAACTAGCTGAATTCTCTCTAGGGCATCTTTTGAAGGTGTAAAGCAGCCAGTTCCACTGGCGTTTTGCAGCCTGCCCTCAAAGAAACGCACCCCTCCTCCCGCAGAGGGTACCTGGCTGTGGGACAGGTTCCCTGCAGTTCTGTAGGGAAAGGAAGGCAGTGCCTCCCTCATGAGAGCCCTGAAAGCGGGTGTCTCTTCCATCTACAGGTGGCTTGGAAAAGACCAGAAACTTACTCAAACTCCATAGCTAGGAGCTAGTGCCAGGATTTCAGTGATTCTGACCAAAGCCGTAGTGTTTCTTGGGCTTCACACATTCACACCCACACATGGGCTCCGGTTCCGAGCTGGCCTGTTGGCTTCTGGGGAGCTCGTGGCTACCATCTGAGGCCCATTGGCAGCCACAGTCAGACCCTGAGGTGCCCTCGGGTTGCTTTGGGGCCAGGAGTATCTGTGATTGGCCGTGGGGAAAAGCCATGTCTCAGGATCCTGAGCAAGAAGTGGGTGCTCGTGGGGGACAGGTCAGTTCAGGGAGCCCAGAACCATCAGTCTGTCTCCCAAGCCTCCCCCGCTCTCCTGTCCCCTCCTGGTTTAGGTCATCTTAGTTCTAGCTGGGTGGGAGAGGGGAAGATGGCTGGCCTGCTGGCTGGAGCAGCTCTTCCCTCAAGACACTGGAGATGGGGGCCCTGTTACCTTTGCTTCAGACGGGGGAGGATCAGGACGGAGGTGATGGCTGGCAACGAGGATCAGGGAGAGGTGGGACTAGCTGAGCATTGGAACAAATCTACATGCAAGAGATGAATCCGACCCGAGCCGCTTAATTTAATCCTTGAGTTTCTTGGGTCATGTTTGAGGTCAGGGACCTCATCTTTCCATTCAGTTGGGACAGTCAGGAGACTGGGATCATCTCTCCACCCCTCCCCGGGAGGTCCCTGTATGAATGCCCACTTCCCACCCTCCCTCCTGCAGATAGGGGGTTCCTCTCCATGGAGAGGGCCCTGATGAGGCCGCAGGAGGCAGGAGGCTGAGATCCAGGATCTTGAGTGTCTACTTTGTGCCACTTTCTTCCCCAGCCTTTGGGTCCAAAGGCTTCCCCGCACAGAAAGAGCACATCCTGAGGCCTTTGGTTTAGTCTTTTATTTGGTGCAAAGGAAAAAGGGACCTGACACCAATTTAGCCTTTTGAGTATGCAGAGCTCTGCCTACCCCCCTCTCACCCCAAGTGAGCCCTTCTTCCAAGTTTATCTCAGCCCTGAACCAAGGATGTCATAGCCATCCAAGTAGTTATCCTCGCCCCCGACCCCTTCATTTTCTTCCCCTTCTCTGTCCCTTAGAGAAAGCAGCCTTCTTTAGGGGTGAAAGGCAATGACAAGCTCAGCCCTGAATGCTGCACCCCAAGGTCACTCCAGCCCCTACTGGCCTAGTGGGGAGTGGACAGCGGAAGTGTGGGGACACAGGGGACAGGTGGGGCACTGCCCTCCCTAGAAGACAGCCAGAGTTGAGAGAGAAAGGCTGAGAGTCTGGTCAGTCCTGGTTCATGTTCCTGGTGAGCTGCCATGACACAGGAATAGGGGCAGGAGGGGGGTGGCTGGGGATGGCAAGGAAAAGTATGGAAAAAAGGGAAATTTGGGGAAATGAAAGAATGACAAGCTCAGCCTTGTTCAGTGTCTGGTGATGTGGAGGGGAGGTATGGGTGACATGCCAGCAATGGCCCTGTTCAACCCTCAGGCTCGGCCAATGGCCAGCTTGGCTTTGTGACTCCAAAACTTGTGAGGGAGGGGTTTGGGGTCAGAAGAGAAAAACTGAGTAGAGATCTGTGCTGTGGAGTAATCTGGGACTGGTGGGAAGACCAGAGTTGTCTCCTGGACCATGTTTTAGATGTTTCTAGACATCACGCCAGCACAGGGGAGGGTGACTCTTACGAGGTCAGCCCCACTGCCCACTGTCCTCCCAGAAGCGGGCCTTTGCATCTGGGCGCGGGCCCAGGCCCCCACCCTTCAGAGCTCCTCGTGGACCCGCTCTTGGTCTTCGTCTGACTTCAGTTTGAGCTCCTCCACAGTGATCTTGCCATCCTGGTTGCGGTCCTGGTTCTGGAACATGTCTGCTATGGTTTTCTCTGGGTCCTGCCCAGGCATGAGGCGTCCTTTGCCCTCACTGACTTGAGCCTTGATGAAGGTGGAGAACTGGGAGCCCAGAGAGCCAAGAGGAGAAGGGAGTGAGGGTCTCACCTGAGCGGCCGTGGGTGGCCTAGGGAAGAGCCCCAGGAGCCAGATGGCAGTGGGGGTGATGGACTGCATGAGGGAAGAGGCAGGGACAAGGGAGCTCAGGCACAGGGACCCGGCACAGGGGCAGAAACAGGTGCAGATGGGATGGCAGATGGACTGCATTGCTTGATGCCACCTACATGGTGGCTCGTGCTGGGGTGACAGCAGGGGATTGGTTCTTAGAAGGACTGAACTTCTCACCCACCTCCTCTGGGGGGACCTCGCCATCTTTATTGAGGTCCAGGCCTTCGAACAGGTTGACAGGAGGGTCCTCATGCCACACAAACAGGTAGCCTGTGGGCAGCCCCTCCTCCCGGGACACCAGCTCCACCTCGAACAGCAGCACCGCACTGCCGGGGACACCCCGGGCTGGAGGCAGGGAGGGAGAAGAGGAGAAGGAAGGCGTCGCCATCAGGCCCGGGGCTGGGCCCAACTTGCAGCCTTGCCCTGGGAGCTCCCCAGCCCCGAGACCTCAGTTTCCCTGTGCTAGGCACATGGGATGTTTGCAGAACCCCTGGGAGGGATTCCTGCACTCCCCCCTCCAGCCCCCAAGGACTGTCAGCCCCTCACCTCCACTCTCTCCGTGTGCCAGGTGCGGGGGCACCACAAGCTGCCGCCTCTCTCCCACACACATGCCCTGCAGGCCTGTGTCCAGGCCCTCAATCACCTTGTTGGCCCCCAGAGTAGCCTCCTGGGGGTCACCATAGTCGTGGCTGGGGGGAGAGCAGATTCCTGGGTCAGTGCCCATCCTTGTCCCAGGCCAGCTGTTATCCCATCGTCCCCCCCCCCCCCCGGCCCCCCCCCCCAGTTCAGAGGGAGAATGCCTTCCTCACGGAGCCAGTGCCCCTGAAGCGTGGCCTGGAGGGCTCATCGCCCCCTGCTTTGGTTTCTTCTCCACAAATGGAGCCAGCAGCTCCCCTAGACGGCTGGCTTCACCCTCCCTGAGCCCACAAGGCAGGAACCTCAGCTCCTCATGCTCCCCCACTACACTTGCTTGCTGGATGGGAACTTAGGGAAGAAGCACCCATTGGGGGTATCAGGAGGACTCCCTGCACCTGGGCCCACCCACCTGCCCAGCCCTGGCCCCGCCCCGGACCCACGAGGAGAAGAGCTTGGTGCCATCCAGAAGGGAGCAGTTGTAGTGGTAGCGAACAAAGTCCCCAGGCTTGGCGGTCTCATTGCAGGTCTCCGGGGCCGGGGACAGAATCTTGATTTCCACCGGATCTGCAGGGTTGTGGAAGTCAATGATGTGGACGTCGAAGATCAGCACAGCAGAGCCAGGGATCTTGTCTCCTGGAGCCAAAACGGGGAGTGGATGGGCTTGGAATCCAGAAGGGGCTGCTCAGGCCTCCACAGAGGCCCCTAGACCTACCCAGTCCTGTGTTTTCAAGCCAGGATGGGACGGAGTATTTGTCCCCAGGGTCAATTCTTCTAATACCCTCTTGTGGAGGGTGAGGGGCAGGGAAGGAAGGGCCACGCCAGTTAGAAAGCCCTTTATACACAAGCTCTTGCAATCTCCCAGTAACTTACCCTGCTGGTCAGTGTGATAAGTCCCATTCTACTGGTGAGGACACTGAGGCTTCCAGCAAAGCTGGGGCACAAGTCCAGGTCTCTTTGCTTCCTACGGCTACACTGTTTCTGTTCTTCCATAACCACCCCACCTCCCCAAACTCAGGAGTCTGCTGCCCTTCTCCAGGATGGAAGGGAGAAGTGGTGGGGGGTGGGGAGGGCTGCCCCTGGAGGAAAGGACAGAGTCTGTGGCAGGAGGTGGGTGGGTGAGAGAGGGGCAGAGCAGTGGCTGGGATGGCCCTGTGGCGGGGAGGTCAGGGAACAGACTGCAGAGGAATAAGGCG